GTGCGCATGCGCGCTCCGCGTTGGGGCCCAGTGCGCACGGAGGGCGACCGCTGTCACCTGGCGTTAAGGACCCGACGGTGGGCCTCACCTGGAGACCCTCGCGACGTGTGGCGGGTCCTCTCACCCGGGTGGGACAGCCACCGGGGCCCTGAGTAGGGAAGATGCCCTTTGAACAGCGTGCCAAGGCTCCCGGGGCGCCGGGCAACATGGAGAACCCCAAGGAAGGGCCCTGTCGGTGCCTCGCTGTGTCTGGAAGGTCCTGGAGAGCACTCTGCGCCCAGACGCGGGGCCTGACCGGGAGACGCACCCAGGCCCCAGTGTGCCCATCGTCCCACGGAGCCCGTTAAAGCCACAGTTTGAAACGTGGTCTTTCTCTCTTTATTGTCCATTCTAACATCATTCTCATGGTAACTGGACAGCAAAGTGCCAGGAAGTTAGGCTGCGCTGTCGGAGGAATGATCACTCACTCAAGAAAGCCGAAGGAAGAAGTCCGACCACCTTAGTATCCTCAGAAGAACGAACTCAAGGCAGTAAATCCCCACCAACTGCAGCAAGGTCTTAGAAGGGAATGCGCAGGTAAACAGGGCCCCGGAACGTGGGGCCGTGCATGGGGCAGGAAAGACGCGAAACTAGTCAAATATCACAATGGAGGCTTAAAAACCCACGGAGACCAACAAGAACAGTTAGAAAAATAGGAACGACCCTCTTTCAACTCAATCTTAGTAGGTGGTTGCATTCTAACAGATGGTAAGAAATGACTTCCCAGGTGGAGGCAACAGGTAAAGGAGGAAAAAACTAAAATTGACGAATCTTTCACCTGTCTGGTGCTGTATGTATCTTCACTTATGTTTTCATTTATTCATGCAATTCCTGAAAAAATTAGTCATATTCTAAAAGAAATAAGCTGAGTGTTTCTAAATACGTCTTACATAAAATACTTCTAATCCTACCACGATCCTGTGAAGTGCCATTTCACAGATGATAATAGTGAAGTTCAAAGGCTACATAGGCTGTAGGCAAATCTAAGTCAAACCAAACCTTAACTGTCAATCCTACACAACTAGTTACATCACAGCGGCAATCTAGACAGCTTTAGACACAATGTGACAGTATTTCCCTCTGCATATTAGGGCTGAACTAGGATATAAAGCTAAGAAAATAGGTTGGAGGCAGATCATAATCCTTGGCCATTTACAAATCAGTTTGGATGATGATTTGTGCGTAAATGTACACCCTAATTGTTCTGAAAAGGACCTGAAGCACTTTATCAGTCATGTAAATACATGTGGATGAAGGCGGTCCTATGTAGCTATAAAAGGTGAATAGGAAATTGACTTCCAGATTTCTTAGCCCAAGTAAAGCAGCAGACATGATCAGTTACCAGGTTCTCACCCACAAAAGACATCTGTATTCCTATCACTATATCCCTTTTTTTTTTTTTTACCATACATGCATGGCAAATATAAAGTGAAGGGAAATTTCACTTCCCTTCTGATGTGCATGCTTTTCGTTTCTTTTTCTTGCCTGACTGCTCTGGCTAGGACTTCAAGTGCAG